ATTGTGGTATTTGTCACTTTTTTGAGTTTATGTCACTTTTTAGTATGTGTGTGTTACTTTTTTTGAGTTTTGTCACTTTTTTTTAGTTTGTGTCAATTTTTTGAATTTGTATCACTTTTTTTTTAGTTTTGTCACTCTTTTTGAGTTTGTGTCAATTTTTTTTTTAAAAAGGCAAAAAAGTGATGATTTTTATAAAAAAGTGACATTGTGTTACTTTTTTATTTTACACAGTATTTTTCACTTCCTAAAAACCTTTCATATGATTTTTTAAAATATTCCTAATTTTAAGGATATTTTTGTAAGTACCCCAAATTAGAACATCTAGATTAAAGAGATGTATTTCCAAAGTTTAAGGCCTCGTAACTGGACCAAAATCTGGGCCCAATCTCCCTCCTGGGATGCCCATCATTATGGATATTTGCCCCAAGCCCACAATTAGACAGTTATTTTTCTTAATTTTCATCTTTATTGCCCTAAGGTTTAATGATTTAGCCCCCGTTTGGCCCCCATTTTTTTCTATTACATTATATTAATTTGTTCTCTTTTCATTTCAACCACACATTCATCAAATAAAATAATATTACACAAAAAACTAAATATTTTCATTACTTTTCTACCACACATTCTTCTATCAATCACTATTCCAAAAATTTTCAATATTCCAAAATGGGAGCCAAACAGGGGCTTAGATTGTCCAAATTCTATGACTGATTCCAAATTCAACTCAATAGTGCTACATTCTGATCTCTTTACAGGATATCTACTATGAATGACAAAAATTATCGAAAATTCAATATATAATAAGTCTTTTTTATAAAAAATTTCTCCATATGTATAGTGGGTAGAATATGAAATATATAATATGGAGACAATATTAAACTTCTTGAATTTTATGATAATCTCACAAATACCCCCATCACATTTAAAAAATAAAAATTATCTCCCTATATATCGAGTTAAATGCTCTGCGAGTTACTCAACCTTGAGTAGAGGTGCATCTAGGGCACCTAACTTTAATTTGGTGCAATCAAATCATCCAACTTCAATTCACTTGTACATTTGATCACTCATCTTTAATTTGATGCAACCTAGTCATCCTACTTTGATTTACTCAGATCTAGACACTTTGTCCACTATTGTCAGTTTAACTAATGACA